TAACGCTGAACGAGAATGCGTCAAGTCTTCTTTAGCAAAAAGGATGGTGAGTCCTTGAAATAGTAAGAGGAAGAAACTTTCCTTGACCGCCATTTCTAAAACATATCATTAATTGAGGGAGATCGTTGACGCAGTTGTCAATTTTATTGGAAGTTGAAACAGTACGTCAACGGTGAGTGACAAATGAGCGTAGGTCTTCCCAGGGAAGACTTCCTTATATAGATCGATTTCGTGTAACATCACACATGATTGTGGCCGGCCATGTTTGTGCACCTCCGAGGACATGTAACGCTATGCCAAAGCTATAATATTGTAGTTTAGCTCACGATTATCATGAATTCCGGCGAAAATACAACAAATAAAAGACAATTCCCGGACCAAGAACCGTCTACACCGTTGTCTGACTACGCAAAGAAGCGTGATGAGGCAATTAAACAGAGTTATCTAGAGAAAATCGAGTGTATTGGTATCGATCCAATATTGATACAGGGGAAGAACTTCGACCCTGATTGTCTACCTCCCGTCGAGTCTGCAGACATATTGACGTATTTGGTTCTCGAAACAAGTTACTGTACGAAAGATCAATTTAAAAATTTCCGTAGTCTGGAAGCTTTTAACCAACTGGTTAGCGGTTTTGTCACTGGCGTTCAAGGTCACAAGATCTCGGAGAAATTTGTTGTCCTTGCGAAAGTTCGTCACTCAGAGCGAATGAATGACACATTACTAACTGTGTGGATTATCTCCGAAGAAAGTGGAGTCATTATTGGAGCCCATTGCTTGGGTTGCAAAGATGGTCTTGCTGAATCGTGTTCTCATATCGCTTGTGTTTTGTATTACCTTGAGTCTTGGACAAAGATCCACGGAAAACTTGCTTGCACTCAAATGAAATGCCAATGGATTCTTCCCCCTTTTGTTAAAGATGTTGAATATGCAAGGTAGAGAGATATAAATTTCCAATCTGCTAAGAAACTTAAGTCTGAACTTGGTGAAAATATTGAGAATCTCATGAATGATGTTTGTGAACAATTTTATGATGAAAAGAAGAAATCCAAAATCAAAGATAAATCAGTTCTAGTACCAGTTCAGGGAGATATGGACGCTATTTTTAGTGAGTTGAGTGAATGCAAAATAAAGCCTGTTCTACTAAGTCCTGTTCAACCTTATGCTGAAAGCTACGTCAAGTCAAGTCGACACATAACTACTGTTACAGATTTTTTTGACAAAAAATACTTAGAGCTATCATATCCAGAATTACTTAAAGTCTGCATGTCCATAAAGCTTGACATTACTAAAGAGAACATTGATCAAGTTGAGAGAGACACAATTAAACAAGCAAAGGGTATAAATTTCTTCGAACACCGAGCAGGCAGGATAGGTGCCTCACAAAGTAAATCAGCTTGTCACACAAACCCTGCCCTACCTTCTCAATCATTGATAAAACAAATTTGTTATCAAGAACTAGCTAAATTTTCAACAGAAGCTACAGAACATGGCTGTAGACATAAAGCTTTCGCCATTCGCACTTATGAGGAGTTCATGAAGACCCATCATGTCAATTTCAAAGTGAAAGAGTGTGGCCTTGCAATAAATGAAGATATGCCTTGGCTTCATGCAACTACCGATTTGTTCTGCGAATGTGATTGCTGTGATGAGGGTGTAGGTGAGGTTAAGTGTCCCTTTTGTCTAGAGAATTGTGACTTTGAAAGCTATGAAAAGAAAAGCAATACCTGTCTTACAAAGGACATTCAGGGCTGCTACACTTTACCTCATGATCACCCATATTATTATCAAATACAGCAACAACTGTTTACTGCCAAACGCCCTTTTTGTGATTTTGTTGTTTGTGCCGTTGGATTAAGTCAAGTTATGCCTGTGCATCAGCACATTCTACCTGATAAACCTCACTGGGATTCTGTGGTGCCTAAACTGGAGAACTTTTGGAGTGTGTGTATACTCCCTGAAATATTGATAAGATCGATGGTCAACCAGAAGGTGTGATGCACTCCCAGTGGTTAAGACCTCATCAAAATGTAAAGTACGCTACTGTAGATTTGTAAAGGATGAAAGAACTGTGAAGTGCTGCAATGCCAATTGTCTTGTCAAGGAATTCCATCTTTCCTGTCTAGGGATGGGAAGTGTACCTAAAACATGGTACTGTCCAAACTGCAGGATATTACCTAAATAGGCTAGTTTCGAATTGTTAGTGCGAGAAAGTCTGGTAATTAGTTTTTAGCACCAAGACGAGGCTGAGGGGAATAGAAGTTGTCTCAGCATGGCAGCGAATCCTGCCAACTTTGCCGATATGAAAGTATCTGAGCTTCAAAAGTTTTTTAAGAGAAAGAGATATTCAAATTTCCATTAACGGTAAGAGTAGGAGAAGAGCAGAACTACTGGAGCTATGTAAGAATGCAGCGGAAATAAAAGTTCCAAAAATTGAAGAGGAATCAACGAAACGGGATGAGTTAATTAACTCCAAGATAACACTGCCAGGAGGAAAATTACTTCCCCATCCGACTTGGAGACGTGCACGTCAGTTTCTTGCCTTTGGGTGAANNNCATCTAGGGTCTGAATATGGATTAAATATTGTTGGAACCGTCCCTTGTACTAATTTTTTGATCCCAGAAAGTTTCTTTACGATTTGTTTCGTCTCAAAGTGTTCAGAGCATATGTGTAACTTCTTGATTGACGTAAACTCCTTATCAGCCCGACGACAGAAGGCAATCCATTTTTCTTTTTAAGTCTCTCTTCGCCTGGAAACTCGAAAAAGTTGAGATCCGGCCGTTTTTTAGAGTTGTTTTTGCACACAGCGATCACACAAAACCTCATGTCACACTCAAAGTCTCTCCGATCTGCTTTCAAAATAAGCGCTTATTCCCCTCAGCCTCGACTTGGTGCTCTTAATTAGTTACCAGACTTTCTCGCACTAACAATTCGAAACTAGCCTATTTAAACCAGCTCAACGACAGAAAGACACTGTAAACAGGGCAATGAAGCTTGACTCCATTTGTAGTTGTCAAACTAAAGCTACTGCATCAGACAAACTTTTAGAAAGCAAGAGTGGTGCCTGTGAAAGTGGAACATTTTTTCACCTAGCCTGCCTTAATTATAAGCGCATGCCTAGGAACAGCATATCATGGGTTTGTAGTTCTTGTGTAATTACCCAAAAGTTGCTTCTCAACAAATCAACTAACTCATCCAAGTCTTGCACAAGTGTTGGTCAGTCAAACCCCACTCCTCAGCCCACCAATGTGAGTCAGTCAAACCCCACTCTTCAGCCCACCAGTGTTAGTCAGTCAATCCCCACTCCTCAGCCCACCAGTGTTAGTCAGTCAATCCCCACTCCTCAGCCCACCAGTTTTAGTCAGTCAAACCCCACTCCTGAGCCCACCAGTGCTAGTCAGTCAAATCCCACTCCCCAGCGTATCAGTGGCAATAAATCAAGTTCAAGTTCAACTCCTGATAGTGGTAATTTTATATTTATTAAGACAGTACAAAATGTTTCTCCACAATGCAACAAATATGCAAAACTTGGGTCTTTGAGACAATGTGAATGTGATCTGATAAGAGACCGTCTTGGATGGCTGGATTGTGCTATCATTCATGAGGCACAAACATTGTTGTCTCAAATACACAAAAACATCAAAGGATTTCAGAGACCAACTCTAGGAGCTGTGAGACAATTTGATGTCATGACTGGTGATTTTATTCAGATTTTACATATAAAAAATAATCACTGGGTTTGCATGACCTCAATTGATTGTGCACAAGGTTACGTCATTTTTCTTGATAGTATGATGTCACCAATATCTCAGGAACTCCAAGAATTGGCTGAAAATTTAGTTGGAGGAAATTTAAAGGGAGTGCGTAAAGTCAATGTACAACAACAACAAAATGGAAGCGACTGCGGAGTATTCTCCATTGCATTTGCAACTTGTCTTGCGTATAGAAACTTCCCATTAACTGTCCCCTTCAACATTTCTAAAATGAGATCACATTTAATAAGATGTCTCCAATCTGGCATTATGGACTTGTTTCCTACCATTTGAATTACTTGGGCATGCAAAATCTGTTTGTAAATGTATTGTTATGAAATTTGCATTTTAGAGTGCTAAAACCTATATCTATGAAATGAAATCTAAACAGTTACTACTTAATTGAGCGGTTTTCATTTGACCATGAAAAAGTTATTAGGCTAGTAGAAACTAATAGACCCTGAGCTAATAAAGACACATTGTTTTCTTTTGATTGAATATGACTTTTAGACAGTAATAAACACTGACTATCAGTAATTGTTTCACAGTCATATGAAAGTCACACTAGTTCTTATTTAGGCACTATTTACATAGGTAATCATTCAACCAGAACAGTCAAATAAAAGGCAAATACAAATTGTGAGAAACTGGTTGTTACATAGATATTTTAAATGAATTCTGGTATCCAAATATTAATAAATAATTATCAAAACGTATTTGTCTTTGCTGTGTCAATAAAATGCGGCAGCCGATTGGAACTTCCCCCAGGAAAATTTTGACAATTTTAACTCCCCCTGGGGATTAATGGTGTTAATGCTACATTAGCTCCTCAGCCAACAGTTGTTAGATTTACATGTACTTCCTAATTGTAGGTGGGTGGTTGAGGGTGTTTTCAATTGAGTGATGCATAAGATGCAGTAATCAATCAAATGGTACAATGCCTGGGCTCACATCTGTTAGAGCAGAAGTGACAGTAATAATTCTGTCTATCATTGGTTTTACATTATCTTCATTTCTTTTATCACATGCCAAGAACTTTATTGGAAGAATTTTTGAGAGGATAGTGTACTTTCGCCGAAGGAGTCCAATTACACGTTCAACATGAATTCGCACGTTCGCTATGCCCCTTGTTTTTTCGACGTCTATTGGATCTAGCTGATCCCTACCTTTAGTAAAAGCAGGGATCACTAACTCTGCTCTTTGCATTAAAACACTTTCATGGATAGTGAACCCACGATCTGCCATGACTAAATCTCCTGGTACAAGTTTATTTAGTATCCCACAGTTATCTGCGAGATGTTTATCAGAGGTTCTCCCTCCCCAAGCTTGAGATACAAAGGATATGCTTCCTTGAGGAGTGATCCCAATAAGAATTTTAACAGTACTGTGACTTTTGTAAGAAGAATAAGTTTGTGCCCGAGCATAGAGGTTTGATGGTCTGTTGGTAAACACCTCAAAACAATCTATGATTACAGTAACTCTGTTTACAAAAGAAATTGAAAACATGGGGGCATTGTTCTCCAAAAGTCAACACGATCAGGCCAAACAATTAACGGTGCCAATCTAGAATCCATAATAATCATCCACGCTAGAAAAATTCTAGAAACGGTCGAACGTGACACACCAAAACTATAGGCCAAATCTTGCATGGGAGCATTAAGTATTAACTTCATAAGTGTTAAAAATTAATTCTTGAAACTTTGAAAGAGTCATTGACTTGCGATTAACATGAGGTGAAACATTTGGGAACACAGTCATTAAGACATCAAATCCTGATATTCCTATGTAGAAGGCAACTTTCTCGTCATCCCCGGCAAACCAGTTCTCTTCCAAGGGTTTCTCAGCAGTTACAAACAGATAGTCAAACTCTTCTGTCTGAGTCGCAACTCCTGTCTCCATATCATGTAGGTACTGAAAGTTGGAATAACCTGAAACCACCTGAAACCATCTGAAACCACCGGAAACCATCTGGAACCATGTGAAACCATCTGAAAACATCTGAAACCACCGATGAAACCACCTGAAACCATCTGAAACCCCCAAGGAAACCATCTGAAATGACCTGAAAATATCTCGAAACAATTTAAAACAACATGAAAGCACCCATAAAATTACGGGTAACATCAGAAAATAAGTGTTAACAATCGAGTTTATCCACAGGGAGCCCGGCTTACGGATATCGAAAATAATGCCCTACAGTACAGAATAGGCACCACGAACAGGTTTTCAAGGAAACATTCCATTGTTCTTGTTGAAAATACACTCAATTAGCTCTACGAATGGCTGGGAGTTGCACGGGAATATGCGAATTCATCTCTTGACAAAGCACTTGCGTGACAATAACAACATGCGATCGCGAATGCATAGAAGAAACTGTTTTAAATCGAAAGAAATACGTGAAGTTTTTTCGACGGGATCATGCAAATTATATATGAAAAAGCCCAGGAAGGCCTGAAGATTT